TCTGTTCGCTTCCTGATGATCCAGTGAGAGGCATACCATCGCACATTCAAAACGTGCCGTTGCTACCGTATGTGTAAAGAATGCTGACGGAGCACGTGTCACAAACCTGAACGTTAGATTAGGCTCGATCGAAAATCCTACGCTCATTGTCGGTATGCCATGAAAAATTCCAGTGAGGCTCCTGACATGATTCTTCAAGAACATTTCGCAACTAGAGCAATTTAAAATCACCTCATAGGCAAGACGGAAAAGGTCATCGAACGGTGTCAGGGTGGTCGCGCGGTCCATTCTCCAAAGTTAGCACTGTGAACGTTCCGTGGGCGAGAGTCTGTTGAAAAATTAGCGATAACAATGTTTTCTGCCGTGATTTATTGCCAAAGTCACCTCTAGCATGATCATCAGGCCAGGTTGCAACGACTCCATTCCACCGTATTCATCGACAAGAATTGACGACAAATACAGGAAGCATGAATGCTGATGCCTTGAGAATATGTCCATCATCTTTAAAAAAAAGCTACTTGGTAATCATTTATGGTTCGAACTAAGAAAAACTGCAAAATAGCGGGCTCCTCGTACCTGAGTAATCAACGGCTCAACAAAACCAATGGACTGAACACCAAGCGAACGAACAATGAACCTAAATCATCTTTCCTCATGGCAAAATCACTTCCTTTTCTGAACGCGATAATCCTTTCCCATGCCTTTGTGCAATGAGGCTTTGATTCATAAATCAAAAGTCTTACTGATTATAGAACTAGTCGAAGGGAACAACAAAAAATGAGACACAGTCTTCTTCGCAACTGAAGATGGGGCGTTTCAAGGGGGACAGGTGATGCGTGGGGCGGCCCGCTTTTTTTACTTCGGCAAGAGTAAGGACTGTATCGTACTCTTGTATTAGTCGCTTTCCACCAACTATTGTCGCTTGATCGCTGCAGCAAATACTGGAGGACGAGCTGGTGGCGCCCAGATTTAGCCTTAAGACCTCCGCAGCGAACAAGACTATATCTCAATCAGAAAAGATCGAGAACGCTGAAACTAGACCGCGAAGAGAAAAATAAGAAACAAAATCAATGCAAGTAATACCTGATTGACCGACAACAGTGTTCCACCACTCTTGATGTACCTTCATAACGTTTCAAGGGACTCTGACAACACTCCATACAATTCTGTGGCTATGTCCAACCAAGGCGCTTGCTGAGATGCATTGCCGTTCATTGACTTCTAGAACAAGCAGTACCTAGTTATGAGCGGTACTGAAACGACATTAGTATGACAGCCAGCGCTCGTACCAATGTGAAAGGCCATATAGTGGCAATAGACCGCCCGTGGCGTCGTGGCGTCGCTTATGACCCCTGCGGCCCAGGGATCGAATCCCCTTCGGCTCCGCCCTGTACAACCAAGCCTACTACTCTTCGGAGATGGCAAACTGGCACCGGAAACGTCTGGGAGGATAAAATCGCTGACTTTTACATAAACTGGTTTCCAAAAGTAATTGCATAGGTCATATTGCAATTCAATGAGAATACGATTCTGAACAGAGGTAGAGCGCATGCCGCATCCCAAAACGGACTGATCAACGGTGAAGCTTTACGCTTCACCCTTTCTTGGCATTATAAAGACCAAGGTCTTGAGGTTAGCTTCACGAACCAAGCTGCCTGCATAGACGCCTTTCAGCTTCCAGGACCGCTCACCAAATTATGGGGCACAACTGATTCCCCTTCGCCGAGCATGAAAGAAACGCAAGCAGAAGAACGCTCTTGTACGATATACGGGCGCCTTTCTATTGCTGCCACTCCCTTTTGTAGCACAGATTGCAACTCCTTGTATTCGTCCTCATAGAGCAGTTAATTGCTTATGAAGCTATAAGGATAAATTTCCTGCAAAGGATGCAAAAAAAGCCAGGCTCGATCCGTCTTCCCACGGAGCCAGGCTTTTGCTATGCAGCGGCCCTTGCCGGGACACCACTCATACCCAGATGTGCTTCGCTTTACAAATTTATAACGTCAGTACAGCTTCTGCGTTTGCATAGCGGATGCCAATGTGTTAAATATAAAAAGAATTGCCCACCGAGGCACCACCATTCCATGGTCGCACTTCTCGGAATATAGTGGCTATACGGTCTATCCAAAGAACAGGTTCACCAGCAAATCGAGCCCATGAATCAGCAGCTTTCTCATTTTCATTATTCATGGCGATAACAGGCGTTGAGGACAGAACCTGAACGAGCTAAAGATAATGAAGGAAAACCGGCCGGTGCGCCACTCACCATCTGCAGCCGCTGAATTATTGGCCGGCACATCTCGCATAAACGCTCGCGGATTCCGTCTTCCGGAAGGTTCATTATAAGTGTTGTACAGGCTGTAACAAAAACGTGAAAATCAGTAGAACACGAAGAACGGAGAAAAACGGAAACAAAACCTTTCAAACAGCTCGAAATCGCCGCTTCCATTTTTTTGCCGTGACTCTGCGATGACTCCAAATGAGGCACCAGTTGCACCAAGAGTGGTATCAGATGGGTTAGTTCCGATGATGAGCGCACAACGATCTAGAGATCGGACTGAACGCAGTGGCACTCACATACTTCAACTTGCATGACTCACTTTGTCTATGGCTTCTGTTGCAGTAGCGGCAAAAACAGGAGTCACCGCAAGGTGAAGGAGCCATTCGACCACTTTCCCTGAAATTTTTCAAAAATAAAGAAATTACTAAAAAACCAAACTACATAGATAGGCCGGCGCTCACGTAGCATAGGAACGAGGTCCAGTACGCCACGCCACGTGCTGGGAAACAGATGACGTTTCATTGACGTCACACAACATGTTGATACGAATTACCGTTGAAGGCGGCTCACGTTCAAAAATGGTGATTTATGCGATACTAATGACAAAGTGGTGAGTAACAAAAAAGTGAAAAAAAACACCAGGAACACGCGTGAGATGCGCCATTTCGAACCCCATGCTGGACCGGGCTTGCACGTGCATATAGCAAAGAAAGGGCGTGGTCGGACGAGTTCTGTGCCAGCTTTTTCTCCCTCCCTCCCTCTCCACTATTCGAAAAGGAGAGAGTAAGTAGCGGAGCAATCGATCCATCGGGTAGCAGCTAAAAAGAAAAGCAGGGAGTTGTCATGGTCAGGGGGCGGGGCCATGGCCTCGTCGTGAGCGGGTCGCGCTTTCCTCTCGTATTTTCGAGCTATGAAAGTAGTATATCCTTCATGCTTGCAGGCAAGTATACCATGTCCAGGAAAGGCACCTGAACATCAAATGAACGCGAGCAAACCTTCAATGATTAAATAGTCTGTCTTCTACCTCTCGATGGACATGTGCTACATCTATGCCGACGAACTAAATAGAACAAACACCCTAAATTGCTCACCCAAGTATGATGGATTCTTGCTCAACCATTCATTTGCACTTCCAACGAGATCGATCGACGTAAGCAAGAGAGCAGGATGCGAAGTCGGTGGAAGGCCAATTATTGCAGTCACCAATTCAGGAACCACAGCGTTCTCCTCGCTGAAATCTGCTCATTCTAAGAATTCCGGTATGACAATACGAAAGGCGCATTGTTCTGAGAAACAAAAATATAGAAAACAACAAACGGTATAATATTGCCGATGACTGTCGAAATTATAAACAGAGCTGCTTCCGTTTCGTCCCATGTACCAGACTGACTGACTGCCATAAGCATAGAGTGCATCTTCAAGTACACATTATGAGCAGTTCTTAGAAGAATGCAACAAATGTAAATCTTATAGCTGAGTGGGGAAAGCTCATCACAATCAGCTAGGGGAAGGTAGGGGAAAGTTTAAATTAGGGCTTACACTTCTGACGCATGCTTCTGTTCCAACGACGAAAACAACGTCTCGCACTGTTTCCACCACCTAAATATAACATACTACAAAAAAATGTGATCAAGTTACACAGTGTTTCTCTGAAAATACGTAGTATTGACAGTCAAGGATCTGATGATTCAGCGAAAAGTTGTAAATCACGTTTTTTTAGCTGGTTCTTGAAGCGCAGGTTATCAACTTAATATACTCATTTTCACTTTAAATCGGACACTTTTCAAATCAAATCGGACACTTTTCAAATCAAATCGGACACTTTTCAAACCAAATCGGACACTTTTCAAACCAAATCGGACACTTTTCAAATCAAATCGGACACTTTTCAAACCAAATCGGACACCAACTTTTCACGACAATATCGGACACTTTCAAACCAAATCGGACACTTTTCAAACCAAATCGGACACTTTTCAAATCAAATCGGACACACCCCTTACAATTAGGTGGTTGATAACTAGACCACACTAGGTTAAAAAAAAACGCATGGTTCCCCCCGCCCCCCCCCCCCCCCCAGCAGCGCAAGCCCCGCCCCATTATCCCCGCCCACTTCTCAGCGCGGACAGGGTTTTCCGAGATGCTTCATGAAATCTGCTCCCTCGACTTTTTTCGTTTTTGCCCTTTGCACACACACTTCAACTGAAAAAGATTGATACCTATACAGATCTGACTCCGCCCACTCAACAATGAAGTTACGTAAGTGCTGAATTTTTATAACTTTTTTCGTCGTAGTTCTTTTCACATCCAATCTTCACACAAAACGAATAACCATGCACAGCACACCACACGCCCGCCCCTCTTGACTCCCAGCCCACTTGTGTTTAATCGGGAATTTTTGGTTTTTCTCCAGCGTATTTTTGCTTTTTGGTTTGATTGGCTCCGCCACCAGACGGAAGCTCACGCACCACTTTGGGAAAGGCCCCGCCACATTTCGAAAATGAATGGCAAAATCGGCGGCTAGTGTCCGTACTGGCGGATTACGGCCTCTCCCGTCGCTCAGAACAAAGTTTCCCTTTTTTCCGGTTTTTCCCTTTTTTAAATTCTATGTGCCGGGATTGCATCATTTTCGAAAAGTGGCGGGCTCCTAAAGTCGGCGGAGCCCAAACGCTAAAAGCTTAAAAAGCAAAAAGCCGGAGAAACACAAATTCCGCGATAAACACAAGTGGGCGGAGTCAGAGGGGCGGGGCCTGGTGTGCTGTGCATGGTTATTCGTTTTGTGAAGATTGGATGCGAAAAGAACTACGTCGAAAAAAGTTATAAAAATTCAGCACGGGGATCTTAGAGTGGCGCAGGTTGAAAGCCTAGGTATTCGCCTAAGTTATGAAAAATTCAGCACTTACGTAACTTCATTGTTAGGTGGGCGGAGTCAGATCTGTATAGGTATCAATCTTTTTCAGTTGAAGTGTGTGTGCAAAGGGCAAAAACGAAAAAAAGTCGAAGGAGCAGATTTCATGAAGCATCTCGGAAAACCCTGTCCGCGCTGAGAAGTGGGCGGGGATAATGGGGCGGGGCTTGCAACAGTACCTAGTGTGGTCTAGTTATCAACCACCTAATTGTAAGGGGTGTGTCCGATTTGATTTGAAAAGTGTCCGATTTGGTTTGAAAAGTGTCCGATTTATTGTTTATTGTTTATTGTTCTTACACGGCAAAGCGTGTGGTACAATGAAGACAATTAGTAAACAAAACCAAAACAAGGTAACAACAATGTAAGTGAACGCAAGAAGAAAATAGACAGCGAACAAACGAAAGACAACTATCAACAAAATGAACAATTTGCTAATCAAGAATCAAACGGGATGTCTATGGGGAGAGGATGCGAGATACTTGTTCAAAGTGGCTTTAAAAGGAAGTAATTTTATTGGTTGACCTCCCTGAGGAGAGTACCCTGTGGAACTCCCGGACAGTGCGATTTAAGAAAAAATGCTGTCTAACGTTACGCCTGGCTCGCTGAACCGCAATTTTATTGACTGGGCCCCTAGTGGTGGTCTCACGAATTTCCATTAAAGTGCTTGGCCTAATACCCGTATAACCATGGAAAATCTTAAAGAGCATTATAAGATCAAATTTACGCCTTCTGAAGAGAGAGCGGCTCGAGATTCAGGTTGACATTACGTGCTACATTATCGGGGATCCTGTCATAATGAAACCCAACAGATCTTAGAAAGACCTTCCTCGTGAAGCTATTCTGGATCCTTTCCAACAATTTAACTACACGGGCTTTATAGGGGTTAAAAACTACCGTTCCATATTCAAGCAAGGGTCTGATATAGGTCTTAAAAGCCCTACATAGAACAACCGGATCCTCAGACAACAGGGCTCGGAATAGGTTAAGCATGAGTGCCATAGCTTTCACGGCAATATTAGAACAATGCTGGTCAAAACTAAGATTCTTGGTAACAAGAAATCCTAGATCCCTAGATCCCTGATCCGCGATAACCAGCAAAAGGTGGGCGAGTCAGAGGGGCGGGGCCTGGTGTGCTGTGCATGGTTATTCGTTTTGTGAAGATTGGATGTGAAAAGAACTACGTCGAAAAAAGTTATAAAAATTCAGAACTTACGTAACTTCATTGTTAAGTGGGCGCCCCGCCGGAAAAGTCAGATCTATAGCAGGTATCAGTCTTTTTCAGTTGAAGTGTGTGTGCAAAGGGCAAAAACGAAAAAAGTCGAGGGAGCAGATTTCATGAAGCATCTCGGAAAACCCTGTCCCGCGCTGAGAAGTGGGCGGGGATAATGGGGCGGGGCTTGCAACAGTACCTAGTGTGGTCTAGTTATCAACCACCTAATTGTAAGGGGTGTGTCCGATTTGATTTGAAAAGTGTCCGATTTGATTTGAAAAATGATGTCCAATTTGGTTTGAAAAGTGTCCGATTTGGTTTGAAGCGCAGGTTATCAACTTAATATATCCTAGAAAACGTGTGGTACATATGTTCTGGCGACGCCACAAAGAGAAGCACTTGTTAGCAAGCTGACTTCACACAATGCAGCATGGTCACGAAAAATCAATTAGGTCCTGCTGACGCGCCGCGACCCTGCCTGCGACGTCTCTTTTACTGACATCGTCCCAACGCCGAACCTTCGCGAAGACAAATAGTGAGCGAAATTCGTCTAGGAAAAGAAAAGACGAAGTTGATGTTCTAACCTTTAGCCTGAAGTCAGCGAAGTCTCCGTCACGGTCCGGAACTCCTTCTTCTTCTGTATCGTAACGGCAGTGACGATAAAGTGCTGTCAAATACCTGAACTGTCACCATACAGAAATGTTCGAGAAAAAATGAAGCAAAATAAAAAGAATGGCTCACCTCTGAACGTACGGCTTGAACTTTTCTATATGCTGATCATCCTCAAAACTGAACAGCCCTTCCGAAATGCGATACCATATATTGAAGGTCATCTCGATCAACTAAACCCCAATTCTTTACGAACGGATGTTGCTGCCGTGGCTAATTCGGCGCTGTTTGGCTCAGGAGGGGAGAGGGACACTTAGCATGTTCGCCATTTTTTTTGCTAGTTCCTGATAAATTAAAGATCTCACCTTGGAATCTGTAGACTTTTGACAAGTGTCAACGAAGCTTATTTTAGTGCATAGCTTTAGGAATTCAGGAATTCATAGGTCTCCAGAAGAACCACCGCAGTGATTGAAATGAACCAGCTACATGCTCTCGCCCAGCCAAACTGCGCCACAAGTTCTCTGTTTAGAATAATGAGGATAACAAATTTACCGAGTAGTCATGATGACCTGCCAATAAAAGGAGAAGCTCGAGAGTATAGATGCTACCCATACTGTTCGGATCATCACTGCCTTCATTAACAATCTTCTCAAGTAGTGACTCAGCAAGTTCTACGAAGATGCGGGCAAAATTTTGCAGCCTAAACATTCACAATAGACCGTTTGGTAACTAGGTTACAACAGCAAAGGCTATATTTCTAAGGAAAAAAATAACAGAATCTAAGCGCTACTCCAATATCGATCCGCAGTCCATAAACTGCACCAAGGACATGCATGTGCATTTCTCCTGACTTAAATGACAAGGAGATTACGTCATACGACATGCATTCATGTTCGTTGCTGATGAAGGGGCGTGTCAAGCAGAAAGCGTTGCACGGCGCCAAACCCGTTCATCACCGGTTTTGAAAGCGGGTCAGCGACAGCAACTGGTGGAAAACGACTGATACGTACGATATGATAGAGTTTTGTCGCTTGTTCGCTTCTACACCGGAGGAAAACGCGTTTGGCGCCACGCCAAGCCAATCCCGCCTGGCTTAGGCCCATCGTCCGCGCGAACGAGGCTGTACATTCCCTACAAAGCGACTTCTCCGAATTTTATGTTGGATGGCATTTGGCGCCGATATGTGAGGATTTTGGGCTAAGCCTGGGCACCTAATCGCTACAGTATGGGTGAATTGTTATCTTCTATGGGTTCCATGAAGTAAGCCCTATTACGTAACTATTGGAGTGCGGACCGAAATTGGAATTTTGGGTAAAAGTATAGAGAAACTCACTTGTCCATATCTTCCATAGCAACTGCTTGATTGAAAGCACCATGCAACTGATATACAGCTGCTTGGAGACTCATTGCCAAGGCTTGGTGGGAGTGATGGTCTTCAGCACGAACAAGGGCAGAGACAGCACATTCCGTGGCGGCATCGTGCAGGGCACTCGGCGCGTTCGGAGCTGCCTTGAAAGGATTTCTAGCATTTCGCACACGGCCACCAAATGGACAAACTTCATTGTGCGAGTTTTCGAAACGCATGTGTTCTGGAGAACCATTGGTACAATGTGGTCCAGCAGAACTTGAGAGTTCTCTGACATTGTGACTAGAAGTAACTAAGTCATCACTTAACCACTTACAAGTATTTGGAAAACATTATTGAGAAGCGGACTGGCAGCAAACTGGTCGGTAGAGAGGGCGGGATTTTGCAGATACGCAGAGAGACACAAGAGAACTTTTTTTATCATATCGTGATCAGTGATGTAACCTTCCAGAACTTGTGACTGAAAGTAAGAAGTAAGAACAAGAACAATGTTTGATTCTCACTGAACTTAACCAGGTACGCAATCACGCTTGCACCGCTGGCAGCGAGTTCACTACGAATCTCATTTCGACGATTCTCGCCAACTTTGCTATATTGAACCTCTTCTGAGAAAACTCGCAGCAAAGTCAGTAACATGCGAGTTCTATCCCCTTCCAGAGCGGAGAACCTGAACTGCTTCGTACAGAACTGAGGAAAGATCCATTGAACCTCTCCAATTTTAAAGAAAAGTGATAAAAAGAGAGAAAATATTCGACGGAGCACTTCAAGATACAAAGGAAAGTACCGCTGAAGCAGCTCGTTGACCCAATTTTTCCATTCAGGAACCTGAATATAGAGGTCGGCTACGGCGAGGCATAGCTGAGTAGCAGTGGCGTCTGCCACTTGATCGTGACATGACACATCGATACAACTAAAAAAACAAGCGGCATACAAAAAAAAGTGGAGAGCTAAAATAAAAGCCAACCTTAAATGTGATATTAATGATTCTCTGAGTGACATATATGCATCCTTCGGTAATTCACCGAGAGATTTCATTATTTTTTGCCGAAGCGTCTGAGCTGCAAAGCAACATGCCAGAGGATCTCGTCGCTCGCATAGAATTCGGTCGCAAAGAGTCCATGCTTGAACCTAAAATACAATTTTTGCAAGCAACACGTAAGTAGGAAAGCACCTCATTTTGAGAATATTCGCCATCAGATAGGTGAACCTGCGAAAAGATGAAGGCAAGTTATGAATCCCACCACTGTAACAGCGTATGATCTGTTGTTTTAGAACAAGGAATTGGATGCAGTAGATGAAGGCGGTGAATGCTAAGCTGGTTGCAGGAAGCTGCCCCCATAAAGAACCACTTAAAGGCATGTCTGCGTCCTTTCAACGCTCGCACAGAAGGTGTACTACTTTTGCAGCTTGAAATACGTAAGTAATGGCTTGCTCACGACGACGGCGGTAATACCCAACGTTCATTTTCAACTGCTACCTGATGATGCGTTGCTCCGTTGCCAATACCCTACAGTTCAAATTTTGGTGATGAGGTTATCAGGAGAAAGAGCTGACTCCAATAGGTGGTACCCGTCTGACCACGCCCTTCCTTCGTCTTATGCACAAACAAACGCATCAGCTTGGGGCTCTATAGGGGACATTTCGAGCGGGTTTATTTTGTTTTTTCTTCACTTTGTGTTATATACCATCTTTTCATCAGAGTTAAGCCGCCCAACTCACCATTTCCGAACCCAGGCATGCCTTTATGTTAATTTCGATCTAGTAGGTACAGAGTCAATAGATCCAGGCGCGATTAGGGGTAGCTACACCGTAGAAGCGGAGAGACAAAACCTGCGGGACAGCGCAGTATAAGTTCACCTCTCCAACTGCGGTATTCCAGATCATTTAAGGTGCTAAGCCCCGAGGTATTTAAATTCGGAAGTTTTTGCAAGAACTTTGTAATACAAGAAAATTTAGATTCCTTCGAATATTTAGTCTTCTGAAGCAAAACGTTTGGGTGTCTCTCTAGGTGTTTACATTCAGCTATCAACAAGATTTAGTTCAAAGCGACCGTAGCGATTCGCCTAATTTACACTTCTCCAGATGAAATATGTACGTTCCCGAATCGACACAAACTCCTTACTGGCTGAGGTTTCGGTGGAAAACGTCTTCTTCGGAGCCTCTGTTGTCGAAAAAAACTCCCCACTTACCTAGCAATCCTTTTAAACTACAACAAGAAAACAGAGGGTAGAAGATCGTGGAAACAAGTCGTAAAACCGCTAACTTTTTACGGATTTACCCCTCGACCAGGCACCTATGTTTGAAGACCGCACGATGTTATATGTTTGACAACGGTAACGAGTAGTTGCGCGCATTGAAGCGCGAGAAATTATTAGCACATCAGGAACTGCAAAAAGGGATGGATGCCAAATCGAACCTTACTACACTGCAAGGATGGCCTCGTTGGTACCAAGAAAGTCCCAATCAGCAAGCACAGCTTGTTGGATCAGTTATGTGTGCGGGTTCACTATACTGTGGGTGATTACGTAGCAAAAAAGGTTGTACATCGGAACTTCTCGTGATTCTTCTCGGGTCAACAGAGCATTCAACTTACAGAGCTTTGCATGCTATTGAGCCATGCTGCCGATTCTTCATTGTTCACTCCACTGTAGAATATTGATATATTTTGATAAGCGAGGGATAAATCTACTGACTCGGTCATTTCTAGAAAACCTCTAAAGCTTCACATTTTTCGAATAATGTCGACAGAAGAACCCAGCAAAGCACTGCAAAATAGCGAACGGAAGCTCCACCACTTTGTTGAGAATCATTCACTAACTTGTAAGCATTTATCGTACAGGCGTATACACTTCACGACTGCTAAACAACAGCGGAACAAAAACATGTAAAGCATAGCGGTACATCTACTTCAAGAGGTCACATAGTATTACGGAACCATAAAAACTTCTTAAAAACTGAGAAGATCAACGCGACTATCGAAGAGCGCTCGGAGACAACCAGTATGCGTTGTGAACCCTCCCGCTACACGAGCCTAAAAAAAAACAATTCACCATACAAGTAGAGGGTTACAGCACGAGAACCTGTCGAGAGAGCAGCAGCAAACGAAAAAAAAACACTTGAAAGAAATGCTTACCGAACTAGCAGCACGTATATGCTGCAGGTAACCCTTTGCTTCAAGGTCTTCTTTGCTTGGGAGTGGAGGACCATTGATCAGTAAACGAGGAGGTTTATACTCGAATGCTCGTCCAGACATGCGTTGCGAAGTGGAAAAGGACATGGATTCGGCCATACGTTTACGGTCTTGCAAAATTTCTGAAGCAATTGCAATGAAGACCAACAAAGGGAAAAGAAATTACCTAGCCACTGTGTACTCTCTATGGCCCAATTTTGGACATTTAAGCCAATCTCAACCGGAATATCTCCAGTGGGTAAAATCTCTGATAGTTTTGCTCCCTTCGGTAGTTACCCGAGGAAGAAATATTTTATCCACTCGGCTTCAATCAGTCTGGCGTCCGCGAAAGCGTCACAGGCTCCAAAATACTCTGAGCACTAAATCTGCTCATAGCGTTCAAAGGGGCTGTCCAACCCCCTGAACCGAGAAGCACACCCTCTTGTCGCGGAAACGCCTATATTGTGAGCTAGGCTTAAAAGCGAAACTAGCATAAACGCAGGCGCTTATGGTACATGTGCCACACGTTTTTATTCTAAGAGGACGTGATATTCGTGTCCAGGAAGTCATGCTAACCCTAGAGACAGACTTTTGCACAATAGCACAAACACTGCACTCTTAGCAATATCCATACCTTTGTTCCGCTTCTTCCGCCTTGCAGCCTCCTCCTTTTCTTCAAGTTCCTGTTCAATTTGACGTTTTCTCTTCTCTGTCCAAAATAACTTCGGCTGGGACATTCGATTCACGCAGTTCTTCCATGATGGCTTTTGTATCCTTCACTGCTGATCTCTCGACTTCTTTCTGAAGCGGTAAATATAGAGCTGATAACTCATTGACAAACTTTGAGCAGAATAACAATCGAAAAAATAAAATGAAAGCCGATGAAAACGAAAATGCCTATGAAAAATGGAAGGATGAAAAATGAAATTCAATCCATCGGCAAATATCACAGCGTACATTTTCCTGGTTATGAGCCTGGTCCACACGATTTTTCATTTCTCGATCTTCCTTAAGATTCTGCATTATCCACAACTGATCCTCATCCAGTCTAAACATGTGAAACTGAAACCAGAGCTACTGAAAAAAATATGACACAGACACACTTCTTTTTGTTACGTTCTATCAATTCAGCATGGGTTTCTTTGAATGTTGCAATTTCAGCTTCCGTCTCTTCAACATCGATACCATAAGCGAGATTACACACGATAAACTCGAACCTAAAAATTTCAAAGGGATGAAAGAGAGGGGACAATTCAGAAGCTGAGCGTAAAGGAAAAACAGCACAGCACGACAGGGCAGTTTCAGACGCCTATTTGCAACCATAGGAATGGTTCGAGCCATAATACATGCTACTATTAGACCGCCCTATTTTGCAACCATGAGGAGGATGGTTCGAGCCATAATACATGCCGTACTATTAGGGTCATGCCCATGTCGAGAACGTGCCGCTACAGTATTAGCAGAATGGCCAGGAAAGCAAAGGCGGTAGAGCACGCGCGAGTACTTTATACATTGGAAGCAAGTACCTTTAGCTGTAGTAGGTCTGTGAAATTTTGTGAACCTGGCCCCAGAAGAAGTTCTCGAGAAAATTGAAGAGAAGCCCGAGTGGTGAAAATCGGCGCCGGTTTTTCAAATCAGACGTCATAAGAGGAAAGTGCGCTGCTCAAATTTGACCTGCGCCGGACCATAGTTGTGTGTAAGGGTGTTCTCGAAATACAGGGTGGATTTGGTTCAGGAGCCCGTACGAAGCGGACACAAAATTGTTGCTCGCTGGATTGTCCCATAATGTTCAGTCGTGCACAGAAAGAGGGTGGATGAAGTGCTCGCGCGAGGCTAATATCTGATCACAGAGCCTGGACCCTTGTCGAGCTTCCCCGCGAGTCTGACATCCCAGCTGCAACTGCTGCCCGAGTTATGTCCGATAAACTGAGGATGGTCAGGAGGGTGGCGCCATCGGAGGCGTAGAGACCGAGTACACCCTAATTTTCTCTATCAGACAGCAGCGAACGCTACGTGACCGTAACATCGGAGCTACCGATCTTCTATAGCCTCCCAGCAGTAATGTTCCTCAGCATGAGATGTCACTCTTAAACTGTGCGTTTGTATTTTTTGAAAAACACGCACCCGCCCTAGATGGAAATGTGGGCGTGAGGCTCGTCGCGGACCTCGTCCGAAATCACAATCGCTCAATTGTTCTATGCATGAATGCGCCAGATGAGAAGCCGCACCGAGTTCTACCCATGCCCCAAAGACGTTACGTGGGGTCGCAAAGTGGTAATGGTCATAATAGCAAAGGCAGTTTCCCACACTGTGGCTTTCAAAGCGGCTCTATACAGAGAACAAATCCGTCACTGTCGGTGCATATTGCCTGTTCCTCGGCATTCAGATCGACAAATGGATGGTACCACACAACTACAAGAAGGCCACCGTTGCTCGTCATAGTGCCAGACCCCGAGTAACTATATTGTATTGTATAGATTCCAGGTGCTGGGACCCAAAACAATACGATGAGCACCTAGGTTCAATCGCCCCATTCGCCGTCATTAAGTCATCATGACGATTACAACTGTCTCTATTCAGTTCTGAGAACAGTACACTCTTTCAAGCGGCCAGACGCATACAATGTTCTGTTCAATTGTCCGCGACGGAAATTGCAACACAGACAAGCACATTAACCCACACTTTATTGAAAAAAATCGGAGACGGTAGCCATGAGGTCCCAAAGGCCCTCGGGGCACTGGGAGCGGGTCATTGGTGAAGGAGGGATTTACTCATCCTAAAGCTAAAATATCACTTTTCTATTTATTCTCCTCTTTGTTTTATTCAAAAAAAACCAGCGGCACGTTTGAATGGGATGACCTAATAATATCTGAATAAAACCCGCATCACTCATCATTAGCCGACACTCTGACCCTCAGACACTAGGTCAATCATCCGCGACGAATTCAGAACCGCCACGTGCACTAGGCGATATGTTGCAATGTAATCGTGACGTGGCCGCGGTGTGAGCGGAGCGATTCCTTGCCGTTACCAAATCAGTTGTCTTATAGTTCGTTCAAATCATTGAGGGGATTCCTTCTATTTGTACACTGATAGACGCCGTGAACAAGAACGGGTCCCTTACTCTAACTAACGACAACTCCTCCGGATGCGCTGGTGTAACACTAGCATTGCCTCGCGCGACTTGCCCCCCCCCCTGGCACAAAGTGGAGCCTTAGGATAGTGGGCATAGAATAGGTATCCAGTAGACAGACTTTAAAAAAAAGCCTCTCTCCAATACAGGATTGTACGGCCCCACTGAGTGCGATGTGGCCCATGCAATGATTTGGAGCGGCCAGCCATCAACGAGTCAGGATTCGAGTCCAGGACAGAGCGCGTGGTAAGCGTCCCTAGACCGAAACAGACCATAGACCGTATATCTACTCAAATATCACCACACTTTTCACGCGAAGGTGACCGCGACTTATTATCGGGATTCACTGCCGAAGATGGGTACTTTGAAAGAGAACTGACCTTTCTAAGTAGTCATTGAATTCTCGAAGAGAAGGAAAATCGTCTTTCTTCAGATTGTAGATCTGTAAATAACAACTAAGCGATACACTGACTTTCTACTCAAGTGTGCTGGTCATAGTAGAAATAGATGACGCAGAAACCTTACCAATTATGGAAATTTTCGAATTCTTTCGAGGAGTAAAAGAACATTATTACTCACTGGTTCCAAGTCAATAGTCAGTTGTGGCGTGCTTTGGCAAAGTGAGAAAGACGAAGGCTTTCCTAAACTGCAGTTCTAGGCTGCATAGCAGCCTAGAACTTTCTGATGCAGCACTGCATCACGCTGCGTAAACTACAAGCCTAACACCAACTCAGCATGAGGTCCAGGCAAAATGGCAATTGAAGAGCTACGCGCAGTTGAGGGGGCTACGCATCGGAGTGATGAAGTTCGTCAGCGTCATAAGAGGACGCCGCGGCGGGCTTGATTGTCACCGCTATTTAGCTGAGATTTGAGCAAGGATAATTCGCGCGTCACACGGGTTTGTTCACCTTTAATGAAAAAAGTTCCTTGCGGACATGTTCGTTTTATCTTTGTAGACTTTCCGCTATTACCTTAACTCGTCACCTTAGTTCCTGGCTACCTTGTATAATCGGAGCTGAGAAAAGCAAAAAATATTGATGTGATAAACTTGCCTTTCTAAGACGTCGCCGAATATGAGTTTCTTTCTCAATCAAAGGGTCGTCGAACACCTGTTCCCAAAAATTGTTTCGACGTAACGTTTTTCCGCAGACGTGACAAGGACCCGCATTTCGTGAGAAAAGATTTTCGACACAATTTCTGAAATGTTTAGAAATGTGAAAAGCCAAAAACAGCACATACTATCTCTAACAGTTTACAAAACGCACTTGCAGAGAGGATGTCCGCATTCATTTACCATCATAACAAGGTTTTTATTTGTATATTCATTAGATTTGCACTTTCCACACTCCCTCATTTTGCTAAATGAAACCTTATGCTACCTGCATGCATGTAAAAAATAATGAAAATGCTCGAAAAAATTCAGAAACCTGTTTGATTCGTGGAAGCTCTACAACTGCTCTTCAATGACGGTTTTCCTGTGAGGATATAGATAACTCAAGGCAACTTGTCTCCGTATCACTTCTAGATTTTCTTTTCCTTCCTAAAACACGATATGCCGTAAAAATAGCTATGAAGACGAAAATTTTCGAGCCAGAATGTTCACACATTGAACGGAAGGCCAACGGTGGGTACGAAGTGGAGGCAGAATAATAATTCAGAATGTTTCTTCAGCCTCCCGAGATTTGTACAGATACTTTATTGGACTAACGTTTCGGCGAACATCGCCTTCTTCGGAGCCTGCAAGTCGAAACCTATCATCGAAACAATTCACTCAAGCACCATTTCTAATTACAGTAAGAAACTACGGGCTAGGATATCTTAGAACTAAGTCGAAAGCCACCAACCTTTTGACGGGTAGAACTTCTACCGGGCACTCTGAGTTTCGAGACTACAAGACGGTAGCTTATATATGGTTTTAATAACTCTGAGTGACGGGTCCCCTTACATCGATCGTAATCCCTATCGATACAGAGGGCAGCGGATGGCATGCCCTCTGTATCGATAGCGATTACGATCGATGCTTATATATGGTTTTAATAACTCTGAGTGACGGGTCCCCTTACATCGATCGTAATCCCTATCGATACAGAGGGCAGCGGATGGCATGCCCTCTGTATCGATAGCGATTACGATCGATGCTTATATATGGTTTTAATAACTCTGAGTGACGGGTCCCCTTACATCGATCGTAATCTCAAGCCCTCTGACCCGTCACTCAGAGTTATTAAAACCATATATAAGCTACCGTCTTGTAGTCTCGAAACTCAGAGTGCCCGGTAGAAGTTCTACCCGTCAAAAGGTTGGTGGCTTTCGACTTAGTTCTAAGATATCCTAGCCCGTAGTTTCTTACTGTAATTAGAAATGGTGCTTGAGTGAATTGTTTCGATGATAGGTTTCGACTTGCAGGCTCCGAAGAAGGCGATGTTCGCCGAAACGTTAGTCCAATAAAGTATCTGTACAAATCTCGGGAGGCTGAAGAAACATTCTGAATTATTATTCTGAACTCTGATGCCGAGATTAATTGAAAGCCGATCCTGTGATATTCTGAAGTGGAGGCAGTTCAGAGGTGCAGATGAGCTCGACTACAGAGGTCTAGCGCTGAGCATGTAAGCATAGAGACTGCCCGTGTTCCAGAGAAACATGTCCATCTGAGCACATGATCCACAGATTGAGTTTGACATACTGCGAATCTATCTCCCCTTATATCGATCGTAACTACATCAGTTTTCTTTTACAAGATATATACATGTCCAAAAAGAACAAAGAGAAGAATGTGAGGCACACAACCACGGTCCGGAACGTGTTAGTGTGCTCGCAGAGCATATCAAGCCACGTTCATGTTTCGCAATTGTAGGGCGTTCGCTGTAAGACGAAAACGCGTAAACAAAAGTGCGTACTGGTCTGAAGAATCCGCGATTGGACAAAACCGTCCACAAGCAGTACAAAGGATTCGCCTTATTCGCGCATCCTCCCTCACTGTGGATTCTCAAGATGCTAATAGGAA